ACAAAGTCAAGTAGCCTGGTATAGGCTACTTGACTTCCCCAGTAGGTGGTGTTGACCTTTAAACTGGAACGTGCATTTGTTATAATGGAGGATTTAGTGTTTAGTCTAAAAAAGGTTATTACAATTCCCTGACACAAAGTCAGATTGTATTTTGTCTGACAGCCCTTACCCTAGAGATATTTCATTTCTAATGATGGGGACAATTATCAATCACTATATTTAAGAAATTGGGACTACTAAATATTTGGCATTTTGCTCCAATAAGTACAACTTGCTTTGTTTTCTGTGCCACAGATTTGATTTGGATAAATCCTTCTTTTGATTTCTGCTTGTTCTAAACACATTTCACATGACGCGGTGAAGGATAATAATAAACAGTTGATGTTGTGTCTATCAGGAGCCCCGGTGGTGTCGGTCTCCAGCAGCCCTGCTGCTCCGCCGGTGGCTGTGAAGGAACCTTCCTCCACCCCCCCTCCAGTTTCAGCAGTCAGCTCCACCGCTACCCCTGTGGCCGTCTCTGAGCCCGCCCCCGTGGTGTCTGCTGGTGGCCCCCCCGCAGTACTGTTGGTGGGGGCCAGCGAAGGGGTCCCCCAGCTCCCTGCACCACCTACGACTGTCTCTGAATCAGCGCTCCTCCTCAAAGCAGTGGCATCGACGCCTCAACAAACCCCCCCCTCAGACTCAGCACAGGAGAAGGTGGGCTGTTTCTGATGATTTTTATTTAACTCTTAGATTACATTCATAAAGAGTTTAAACATACAATCATAAGACTGAATGTGAAATAGAAAAAGCTGATAAACTATCTGAAGCTTGAGATTAGGGGAGACTAAACAGAAAGTATTCAATATACGTTGGCAACATATGTAGAATTGAAAGAGTGAATGTACTATACAGAACTATTAGCAGCTGACAAACACCCTACTAACCAAACCCCTTCAAACCAAGCTAATCTTACCCTAAATACTAAATGGTCACAAAATATTCATTTCTCAGTCTGAAAATGAGCGTAAAAATAGGTAGGATATAATAAACATGGATATATTACAAAGGAAAGATTTTTTCACAAATTGTATACATTTCAGAATAACTTGTCGAGAAGTCCCCAGACATTAAATGTATTCAGGCAGATACAAACAATTTGTATAGCATTATCGTTCCATACCTGAGGACCCTGCACACCACACTAATGTTATAACATGTACGTTTTTTACACTTTTTTAATATGTATTTTCTATGTCTTATGCGAAGGGAATTAAGTTGCGATAAGGTCTCTGATTCGTCTGGAAGCAACAATGTCTTTAAACTCTATCTTGAGATCATTTGTATTAACAAAATATGAGAATACACGTAAATCAACCCAGTCCAACTGTCATCTCCATGTGGAGCTAGATTCTTGCTTTTTAAAAACTCTTTGCACCAACATAAGAAACGCCTTTCTCACGCGCTTAATGCTACGCACAGGAGCATGGCAGCTCCCCAAAGTGAAGCCTAAACATCCCCCTATTGACTGGCTGTAACTTCAGGGAGCGCTTGATTTGATGCAGCTGGGTTCTCTATGAGTGGAGCACACATGACCATGATCATTTGTTTTGGCTAGCTAATAATGCAGCTCTAATCTCAGTTGTGTTTATTCCCCAATGTTGTGGATATACACCAGGGGTAGGCAAGTAAATTTGGCCGTGGGACAATTTTTTGCTGAGCCACAAGATGGCGGGCCAGAACATAATCAAAGCCTAATTCAAGGAATTGATTTTGGTAAGAGGGCGCAGGGCCCCTGTTCCCCGGTTCAGGAAAAACTCTATCGCTGATGACCCTTCCCATCAACACTCTGATGGCAGTCAGATCAGCTGATTGGTTCACTGATGATATAGGCGCCCAATCCAGAGCCTCTGGCTAGACCCGCCCAAAGGGAGGCTCGTCCTCTCTAGCCCCATTTCAGTCCCAAAGCCAGGGCTATTATCTGTATTTGAACAGACTTATCTTTTAAATTGAGGTGTATTTATTGTTCTCTTCAAAGTTTATTTTTCTCTGAAATTTTAGAGAGGATGGTCCTCCCTTTCCTCAATGGACGAGCCTCCACTGAGTAAAGTAGAGTTATTAACTAGCAGTGTTATTTAACATACTTTTATTCTGATAAGTAGCCTATTGTCAAGTTCTCTGGGTTTTGGCATTTATTTGAGCGTTTGCCCACATTTGAGAGGCTTGAGGGGCAACAGGAATCCTTTTTCCTTTTCTTTATTTCAACTTTTCAAGGACACATTAGGATTCTTTCAGGTTGAAAACCTTTAAAAAATATCAAAGGACAAAATAAATCAATTACAGCATTTTGCTTTGCAATTTAATATATTATAACCTAAATTAATCAGTAACCAAGTATTTTACTCAAACTCAATGTATTTAATATATAGTTAAATAAGTACTTTAATTGACCTGGTTCCCCACAACCACACATTTGCCATAATGTGACCCGCTCCCTCCGCTGACATTATGAATGTAAGCGGATATGTCGGGACAGAATTTATTTTACCGGACAAATTTGAAACTCACCGGTCATGTTTCAATAATAATAATAATAGTAAGAGTTGTGTAGCAGAGTTTCCGTTAGCAGGTAATCACCGGACTATGACCAGATATGCTGATGTTTAAAACTCAGTTAATGGGAGTCATTTTTATATTGCTTCAGTTTATAATGGTTACAGATCGAAAAGTTCAGATTCATTTTTCAATAAATGATTCCACAAACAACAAACAACATAATAATTACATTCAAACAAACTACTTGTAGTAGATGAAGTACATTATTCAAGAGTTTACATTAACTTTGAATAATAACACGGGAGAAACGGATCCTCTCTTTTCCTCTCTCCCTCCCTCTCTCCTGACAGCCCGTCAGTTTCTCATGCAGCTCGCTAAACAGAGGCGGGGCTTCAGGTGATTATGCAGCAGCTGATCTGATCTCTCTCGCGTGTCCGGTTATACTTCACTCACGTTTATGTCCATATCGATCAGATCCAGCTCTCCTGATCGGCCTTTATAGAGAGCACCGATCAAACTATTAAGAGTGAATATCGGCCGATAATGACCGGCGGCCGATCTATCGGAGCATCCCTAATTATTACCAGACATTTTGACCAGCAGGTTTTGAATTTACCGGGTTTTAATGAATTTGACCAGATAAAAACCGGTGATTACCGGCTAACGGAAACCCTGATGTGCGACTCTCGGTCCTATGTTGTTAAAAAAAAAAAAATAATCTCAAAATAATATTTTATTTTTGATTCTCAAAATTACGGGCCAAATATTATTGCTGGCGGGCCAACAATGGCCCGCGGGCCGCCTGTTGCCGACCCATGATATACAGTATGTAACGTTTATGATCAAATGACCTTCTTATTCATTACAGAAATCTGTGGAAGAGGCACCTTCAGGCAGAACGAGGAGGACGAGGAGAGCCACTTATAAGACTGAAGAAGGTGAGAATAGGGTTCAGTGTTGCTTCTCACAGGTTTGGGACCATAACATTAACATCTGGGAAGGCACTTGAATAGGTCTAGGATACAATCTTATTTAAAAGTAGAGGCCTCTTAAAATAAGATATCTAATTTTGTAACTTTTCTTCTCTTTATTTGAAGCTTCCACTGACAACAGCGTCGAAGAGAAGAAAAGCAAGTCAAGTGGAGAGCCGGGAAAAAGGCTTAAAAGAAAAGAGACAGCAACGCGGTTTCCCTGTGAACATTGTGACGCAGGTTTTAATTGGAAAGGTGAATTAAAGAAACACATGAAGGTCCACAAGAAGCCTTCCCTTGCGAGCAGTGTGGCAGGAGCTTCCTCGAAAAGAAGTCTCTGGAAAATCACCTTTTGCGCCACGAGGCAAGCAAAGCCCCCCTGCCCTTCCCCTGCCCTCAGTGTAAGAGGTCGTACCGGAGAGAGGAGTCGCTCCAGAACCACCTCAAGCATCACGAGCGCTCCAAAACCGCCCAAACCCTTCGCCTGCGATCAGTGTGGCAAAACATTCCGAATCCAGCGCTCTCTGGAGAACCACCTGCTGCGCCACGACAAATGGAAGCAGATGTTGAAGTGCCATCTTTGTGACAAGACGTGCAAGACATCGGTCCAGCTGAGGTGTCACATGGCCGTGCACTCCGAGGAGAGACCGTTCAGCTGCGCCACCTGCGGGAAGGAGTTCAAGAGCAAAGACACCCTCCGCTTCCACCAGATGGTTCACTCCAACTCTAAAAAATACAAGTGCACAATGTGCGAGGAGACATTCAAATACGCCCACTCCCTGACTGTGCATAAGAGGAAACACACAGGCGTCACCCCGTTCACATGCACCGTGTGCAACAGGTCCTACAGGACGGGCACGGCTCTGAAGAGACACAGCGTGGTCCACACCGGGGAGAAGCCCTTCACCTGTCACATCTGTGGAGCCAGGTTCAGCCTGAACAACAACCTGAAGAGGCACCTGCGCATCCACACCGGGGAGAAGCCCTTCACCTGCTCCGAGTGCGGGAAGAGCTTCTCCGACAACAACAAGCTCAAGGCCCACATGCTCATCCACGGAGCCAGGAAGCCTTTCATGTGCGATCTGTGCGGGAAGACATTCCTCTTCAACTGCCGGCTGCTGATCCATCAGAAGTACGTGCACGCTGACAGGAACGAGGACACGGACAGCACGCAAAGGTTTCTGCAGAATAGAAAGAGAAACAAGTCCTTGATTAAACCATTCAGCTGCAAAGTATGTCTCAGAGGTTTCAGCGCTGCGTGTTCCCTCAAACTCCACGAGAGAGGCCACAGCGAGAACAAGGAGTTCAACTGCGGCATTTGTGGGAAGGCTTTCCACAACAAGTACTCTTTCGGGTATCACCAGAGAAGCCACGCGGGGGAGAAGCCCTTCGTCTGTGACGTGTGCGGGAAGAGGTTTTTCCACACTGGCAGCCTGAAGCAGCACGAGCGGATTCACACGGGCGAGAAGCCGTACAAATGCGACCAGTGCGACAAGACCTTCAGAACAGACGGAAACTTCTACAGGCACTTGCGGATCCACACGGGCGAGAAGCAGTTTGAATGTTTCTACTGTCACAAGAAGTTCCACCAGTCCAACCAGCTCAAGTCCCACATGCAGGTCCACACCGGGGAGAAGCTGTACTCCTGCCAGCAGTGTGAACGCGGCTTCTCCGATTCAAGGCAGCTCAAGAAGCACAGCTGTGACGGGTCCTAGAGGAGGGATGGGGAACAATCTGGAAGAACGCTTGACTGAGTAACACATGGGTTAATATAATATATTCACAAATGAACAGCCATTTGTTGTGTAATGGAACTGAGATGACTTGGCCCAGTGCATTTATGCTCAATTATTGCTTTACAAAAAACATCTTTAAAATCCGTTTTTGGAGCTTTTACAATTCGATGAATCAACATGAAAAATTTATTAGGGAGACATGCCAAAAGATTCATAAGAGAGCTTCATAGTAGCAAAGGGATGCTTGGTTTATTATAAACTGAATGCTTTTGTCTGTTGATCCACTTAAGTGTTTAACACTTCAGCGTTACTCATGTTTCATTACCCTTAATATGCTAAAGTTAAGGGATTAATCTAAAGTCATTAAAACAGTTAATGAGAGTTAATGTACTGGCAACTCTACTTTCATTCAGAGATTTACAGTATAGGTTGGCTGCATTATTTTTGGCATTATTAGTTTTAAGAAACTTGTGTTTGACCGGTATAAAAACACAAAGATAAACTATGAAACCACAAATATAGGTTTTGAGTTTGGAGATGATTTAAAGGTATTTTAGACGGAAAACACCGCTTCAGAATTTCAAGTGTGTTTTAGGACTTAGAGTTATTTTCAGCAGCTGAAATTGTTTATTTTCTCCAGTTGAGTGCATTTTTGAATGACTTTCTGTTTTTTAAAAGATTTCTATAATTTATGTTTTGTTCATCAAATGAAAATCCATACAATGACGTTAGATGTGTTTTATTTTTCAAACAAAAACAACACATTGTAAAATGACAGGCTTATGTCAATGGCAGTGTGTATATTCTTTTTGTTTGTTATTGCATTAAAAGAACATTTGCAATTGAAGCACTTTTGAGAGTTTTTATTTTGAAATGTATTTACCTTCGCTACTTCCATTTCCGGAATCATTGCGGCTCTCCTATCTGCGTTTTTGTTTTTGTCGGCTGCTAACTTTAAATGCGAACATGTCAGAGAACTTGGTGTTTTATTCAGAAATAAAGTCCATCTTGGAGACAGTCATTAGGACCATCTGTTGATATTGGACATTCTAAAGAAAAAATCTCCACGAAAGGGCTACCATCAGACAGGAGGTGAGTTAACGGGTTATATTACCGCTCTGCTGTCGGGGAGCATCACATACACATTACTGCGGACACCAGACAGGAGGGATCAGAAACACTAGCTGGGGGAGATTGGACCGCCGGAATAAAACCAAGCAGAGGGACAGGTTAACACCAAGAGCAACAAAGATGGCGGACTGTTATCACGAAGAAAGCTAGCTAGCTAAACATGTCTATCCGGAAAAATAAAGTGTATTGTCACCTTATAACTTTAAGTCACATAACCACTTTGCAGGCTCTTAATATAGGTTAAAAATAATGAAATACATTTCTTATTTTATTTCAAATTAAAAAGCGTAGGCCTATGCTGAACAATACGGTGCGTCACTGCTGTCCAGTGACTCGGAGATTGGATTGACCGGTAGATGAAACCTGTCTACTCTTTGCCAAACTCCGCCCTGGATTATAATTTGTACAGTAGGCCTACTGTAATGTAATGTATTTACTCAAGGACTTGTGCTTAAGTAATTGTACTTACTTATTTAGTTTTCGTTTTTGGCAACTTCATATCACTACATTTGGAATTATTACATTATTATTAAGCATAGGCTGTGAATCATTAAATTAATACATCGTGTTGTAATAACGGATTAGCTGCAACATAAATTACACCAATAAATGATACTAACTGATGGCATTGATTGCAAATGAATCATAATCCCGATTAACGTGATATATTTGTTTCTCCTGAAATTGGTTATTCTTATTTTATATTACAATGTTCTAAATATTCCAGCACTCAATATCTGTAATTTTAAATAAACCTCTCGGTGATGATTTATTAATCATTTTCTTCCTCCACATCTAATCCAAACGTCTACAAAATTCTACATGAAAATATAATGTATTCTCATCTGGACACTAGTGCAAAGTAACTAAGTACATTTAATTAAGAACAATATTGATGTTTCTGCACTATAGGCTACTTTAGTATCATTTTGTACTTATTTGTACCTACTAACTATCGTCAAAAAGATGTCAGTGAATATTACCAGCATTTGACTTATTACAATACTCATCCACTTTTAAGATCCATTTCCACCTCATTGGCTCATCTTCCTAAATAAGATTCTTATCCAGCAAATAAACAATTTACCCAAACATTGCTTTAGGTCATTTTAATGTTATTCTGTTAATAATGTTCATTACATTTTTACAAATGAATAAATTGTGCTTACTTTTTGTATAGTTATGTCTTATGTAGTTATGGTGGGCCATCAGTTTAAAAACCCTTATTAGGCCAAATAAACTCTACATTGTAATGTATTTGTTCTAAATGATACTGCAGTTATACCACCAGTTGATATTACAAAAACGTTTGCATGTGAATAAGCAGTTGGTAAATAGCATCAGATACTTTATCTAACAGCTCATTTATGGAACACACTGTTGACTTCTTTATTTCAATCCTGACAGCCAGATTTTGACACCCGTTGTGGAAATGTTGGCACGGGAGGCAACGAGAAAGATCGACGCCGTTTTCTCCCAACTGTCCTCAACACTGCAAAACGAGAACCAGACCCTGCAGGCCAGAGTGGGGGGGGCTGCAGAGCGAGCTAAAGACCACCCAGGAGAACTTTGAGAACGCCAGGATGTGGGAGAGACAACATCCTGAGCGGCAGCCCCCGTCCTGTTCCAGCAGAGCGGCCTCGTCTACACCCCTGAAGCCTTCTGGGAAGTTGAAAACTAGAACAGATCAATTGACCGGGGACGGCCCAGAGACTGGACATGATGGTAGGTTTTCATTAAAGGACAACAATCCACTAGAAAACCACCTAACTTCTACGTTCATCATAATCATGATGGAGAATCAAAGCTAAAATGGGATGTAGAAAAAGCACATGGAGGGGAAGTGGGCTCCTTCGAATGGAACACTTGACATGAACACAACCATAACAACTTACTTCCTGTGATTAGATTCAGATACATTAGGGTTGCTGATGTTAAGCTGGCATCAATGTCAATGATAATATATATACTGATATATTTGATGGAAGATCAAAAAAACACTTCAAAAACCTACAGTCCTCTACTTTTCAAGATATATGCTCTTTCTTTTTTTTTAAACAGTCCGTCCCTCTCAGCATAACATGTTACTCCAAAGTTCATCAAATGTTGTCCTTGTTTTATGAGAAGAGAACTCATAACACCACATTGATGCAAAGAATCTAGTTTGTAGCCAAGTTTGACCCAGACAGTAAATGAGTGTTATTATAAACCAGAACATAATAATTCAGTATTAAGTGACTCTGTCTTTGATGCTTTATTCTTCTGTTCATTTCTTGTGAAGAAGCAGCAAAGGAAGTGAATTCTGAAGCTGAGTCCTCAGCAGCTATTGGACAAGGTAACATTTGAAATTGTTATTGTCAAAGAAACGCATATTATCACCGGGAATAAAACAAAAAGTAAACACATAAAAACAAAAAGTGTAAATGGAATGCTATGTGCGGCTTTGACACTTTATCTACATTTGAAAATGAAATTGAGAAGTTAATGCAAACAATGCTTTATTTGGCAGAATGTCCCCTTTAATCGAATAAATCCCGCTGTTTGCCTCGCTAACTTGTTTATTAACATTTATCTTTTGCTCTCTTGTGTAGACATTAAAGAGGATTCTTCCACAACCAACACGGCAGAATCCAAAACCCCTGAGAGCCAGAACACACAGGAAGCTGGAGTGAGAGGAAAAAGGGAAGCAGTTTGTATGTGAGGTCTGTACCAAGAGCTTCAGCCGGCAAGTTCCACCTGATGAAGCACAGGAACACTCACCAGGAGCAGAGGGCCTTTCTCCTGCGACCAGTGCCCCAGGAGGTTCAGGAACACGGAGATGTTCGAGTACCACCTGCTGCGGCACGAGGAGAGGAAGTACGCCACCCTGAAGTGCCCACTCTGTGAGAAGATGTTCAAAACTCAAATGCACTTGAAGACTCACCAGATGGTGCACACGGACACGAGGCCATTCACCTGCTCCACCTGCGAGAAGGCCTTCAAAACTAAAACACAGCCTCCAGGCTCACCAGGGTCGTTCACTCTGCTGAGAAACCGCACAAATGCTCCGAGTGCGGGGAGGGCTTCAGGTACGCCTTCACGCTGCAGTGCCATCAGAGCATTCACACTGGGGAGCATCCCTTCAAATGCACGGTGTGTGGCAAAGCTTTATAAAGAGGAGGTCGCTCAGCGCACACCAGCGGGGCCACAGGGGGAAAATGTTCACATGTGAGACGTGTGGAGCGGGGTTCACTCTGCAGCACAACCTGAGGAGACACGTTCGTATCCACACCGGAGAGAAACCCTTCAAATGTAAAGTCTGTGGAAAGAGCTTCATCAGGACAACAGGCTCAAATCACACATGCTTCTTCACGGTGCCGTCAAAGTCCTTCATGTGTGACCTCTGTGGGAAGACCTTTCTGTACAACTGCCAGCTGCAGAAACACCAGAAAGCCACTCACGATGAAAGGCACGGGCAGGTCGTCAGGAGGCGCACTCGAGAGAAAGGGAACCGCAAGAGTGATCTACAGACGGGACAGAACCTCGGTGGACGTGACGCCCTTCAGCTGCAAGACCTGCCGCAAGGGCTTCGACTCGGGCCGGCGCCCTGAGGAGACCACGAGCAGATTCACACCGGGCAGAGGCAGCACACATGCCCCACATGCGGAAAGTCCTTTTTTCTACAAGGCCACGTACGACTACCATCAGCGGATCCATACAGGAGAACGTCCGTTCGGTGTTGTGACGTGTGCGGGAAGAGGTTCATCATCCCTCAGGCCCTCAAGTCCCACAAACTGCAGCACTCCGGAGAGAAACCTCATCAATGTGAGCAGTGCGACAAGGCCTTCAGGATCTACACCAACCTGCTCCGACACATGAGGGTCCACACGGGGGAGAAGCCCTACGAGTGCGAGGTATGCGGGGTGAGGTTCAGGCAGCTGGGACACGTGAAGTTTCACATGCAGGTCCACACCGGAGAGAGGCCGTACTCCTGCAGCAGCTGTGGACTCGGGTTTTCAGACTCACGGCTGCTGAAGAGACACAGCTGTGCTGAGAACCAGAACACTTCAGAGAACACACTTGCTATGTCCTAAAAACAGAGCACGTCATTTTTCTTAGTTACAGTGTGATTTCCCTCAGGATAAAAAGCCAGCAATAAAATGTATTGGATATTTAAATAAATACATGTTAAAACCTGCATATTTTTGCACAACTTGGAGTGTTAGCTGAATTTCTTGGTTGTGATATGGGATTTTATTTGTTCTGCCTAAAGAAAATCCTTTTTAAATGTTGTCAGGAGCGTCAGCAGCAAAATCAGACCGTGAAGAGAAAGCTTGAAGTGTGGTGATCAAATCAAGATACAGCCAACAGATTAACCTAAGCAATATTATTTTAAATAAACGTTGTTTAAAAATGATTTGATCAGTCTTTAATTGCAAACAGCAAAGCTCTTTGAAAAAAAACATGATATCATGATGAAACAGAAAATGAATCAAGACGTTGATTGTGTGATTTGTTTAAAGTAAATGATTCAATCCTGATAGCTAGAGGGAAACCAACAATCACGCTGTACAAAGCAAATCAGATGTTTGTTTCCTTCATTAATACATGTAAATACAAAATGCTGGAGTTTATTTTGAAAGTAATGACATTTACACGTCTAATATGTGTAATTGTAAAGCGCTTTGAGCACCTGTAAAAGCGCTCTAAATAAAAAAAAATGTAATCCATTATTATTATTATTAATAACCGGAAAATCTCCATACTGATGACACTGTAATTGTTGGGTTAGTTCCTCACTGTGACCACCGAAGGACAGTAAACACCAACACTCACTTTAACTTTTAACTCCTTGACTTTAATAATATATTTTCTAACTAACTATAAAACAAAACACTGAAAAAGTCAGGGTGGTTTGTATTTGTTATTATTGTGTCTGACATAACGTGTTGCCTTATTTGCCGTGCTGGGTGTCCAAACTACAAATGCGGCCCGCGGACCATTTTGAATCGGCCCTCAGCGAATTCTAAAAGTATAATATAATACGGCCCACAGATTAAACTTGTGCTTGTCTTATATTGTACTTCTTAAATATATATGTCAAAATATATTACACAGTAGTAGTCATGTGTTAAGCCCACTTTTCAAATAAATTCATTCAATTAAAGTTGGAAACATTTTCTAACATATCTTAGTTGATAAAAAAAGGCACAATAACTTATTGACCTATAAACTTGAAATCTACCCTTCATATTTCCCCTTATTATAAGCAAACAGGAGTGAGCTGCCAACTAAATAAATGAAACCCTAAGGAGAGCTGTGATATATTTTCAAGTATCAAACATAATGTACCTACATTTGATTAATTTTGCTTCTCGTGAGTGGCCCAGCCCTTCGTATATGTTTCTGTATGCCCTCGGTGAAAAAAGTTTGGACGCCCCTGCCTTGTAGTTTTCAATGTGACCGCTGAAGGACTAAACTGTATAAAAACTACTTATCAACGCTTATTAAGTAGGCTACTCACTATGAACAATGGAACTTCTTTGATTTAGTTTTTGACGTGTATTAATGTATATTGTGCTGCAGTTTCTCACTTTAGCCATTTGAGGGCAGTAAACACGTGAATATCACCAAGGCAGACAAAATGTCATGCTAACACTTTCCGGTTGAATACCAGAAGATAAAAAAAGAACATGCATTGGGTGCACTTGTTTTTTTTTGTATTAACAAGGGGAACTGGTAATCACACTTTAATTTCAATTTCACACTTTCAATTGTTTTTCTTTCTTAAATAAGTTACCAAGAAACATTTTCAATTCAGGTTCTGAACTTGTTACAGAATAGGCCATTTGACATTGTGGTAAAATAACTTTTACTTTAGTGTACCTCTGAACACTGCCTCCATCACTGGGTCCACTCTGACTGACCGTAGCACGCGGGCTTTTATTTTGAAAAAAACATGAACTGGGAAGAGGATGACCATTGTTGTGAAGAGCACGAGTTTTCTTTCCCCCCTTAACGACAACATTGTAGTAACAAAAGCCATGTCTTTTATTACAACATTTTAGAACAGAAACGTATTGTTAGTGGGAATATACAGTGGTCACAATGTCAGATTTGGAGGCGCATGTAGGCTCCATTTTGGAGATGATGGTAAAATGCGACAGTAACAGAAATTAGTAAAGTTATCGGCGGCTCTGCAGAAACATATCCAGAATGTCATCATGTGAGACTGAAAACACACACGGGTCCTCGGAGGAGAAGGTACGTTTTAAAGTCCGTTGTGTAACATCTGTCGGTAACAGCCTCCGCTGTCTCGGGGCTCCCTCCTTCTCTGGCGGCTAAACAACCAGCTGAGCATAGAAATAGAAGAGCTAGCTAGCTGCTTTAGTTAGCTTTCAACGGCTTAACTTAAAATAACCACTCAATGTAGGACTGCTATGCTAGGTAGAGCGCATCATTTGGCTGAATTGATGTAATTATGTAGCCCTGGTTGACCAACAACCCAGAAAATCCATCTTTGATATTCATTTGGAGTTGGGTAGCAGGCCCAGGCCTATCTATCTGCTGTATGTCTAGAAGCGGTTCAGCTACAGGTTTACTCAACGTGACCAGCTGTCAATAACAAGCTGCTTTTTTCACAATGACACAGAGGACAGGTTTTTGACTGGAATTCAGCCATGTCGATGTATGTATATTATTTATATATATATATATTGATATGTGTATATATATATTTTAATATATATATATTGATATGTTTTATGCATTTAGTTAAAATAAAAAGTCTGGGAAAGGAGATGTTTTTAAGTGAAAGTCCTTAATTTAACTTTTTAACGAAGTCAAAATATACTTGGGTAGCAGGAGAAATGTTCTAATTTAGCAGAATTACATATCAGAATCATGTCCTTTATGGTATTGTATTACATTATTAATGCTTTAATATGTTCCTCACTGTAATGTTGCCTCTGATAAACACAGGTGCTGCTCACTTTTCTTACTTTGCACACTGCTCGGCCCTTAAGCCCTGTGATAAACAAAGTCAAGTCATATTTTAACCTTTGAAAAGACATTATCAATGATTTGTTCATTTATATTTAGTTTTATTTATATTCATTTGATCTGCAAAGTAGCTTAACTAGTAGCTAAAGTTATCACACAAATGTGGTTTGATTCAAAGCAGCAACATATGAAAATGCTTTTCAATTACTCCAGTCACTTTTTAGGGTAAATTGTTAAAATATTTACATGTTAGCATGAAAACAAACATTTGTTGAGTTTACCAAAGTTTAAAAAAATCATAAAACAAGATTATAACAATATTGTTTTAATTAATCTCCTATACTCTATCATTATATCCTTCTAAAATGTATCAGAAGATGTTTTGTGTCTGTGATGTTCCCTCAGGTGATCCAGTTCAGCGTCTTCCTGACGTCTCTGGCTCAGGAAGCTGTGGAGAAGATCTGCCAGCTCTTCCTCGACTGTTCCTCTCTGCTGCAGCTGGAGGTACGTCTCTCTCTGCCAGGCATAGGGCCTCAAACAGTTTACGAAGAATAGTTCCAAAGCAGAACATTTCACTGTGATGTAAACTCTGACGTTTGATAAGCTGGAACCAGCTGCTTTGGGGCATTTGTGCTTTTACAAAAATGTCTGTTGATTGACTTATTGATAAACCGTCTCATTGTTTCTTTGCTAAAGGTTTCCCACAATAATGGCCATGCAAGTGTTAATTCTGATTTTGGACAAAATCAACAATTCAAAAAGAATCTCAGCATGTGAGAAGAAACTGTTTAAACTAAAATGTCTTTGATTGAATTAGTTTCTTTGTCACTACAAATAAGTTAAATGTTACATAATGAGCAGTATGTTTGTATTGAGAAGACTAACATTGAAAGTGTCTGTTATGTTTTAGCAATACCACATTTCAGGTAAAGATGATTCAACCCACTAGAACAAGTTTACAATAACCTTTACGAAGGTCTAATACTATCAACATAAAGGGATATTTACCAGTGTTCAAGCTATTTGATATTATCTTACAAATATCGCCATGTTATGAAAGGTTGAAACAATGTGATTTGTTTTTGAAACTAGGGCTTTCATTTTTCAAAATGAGGATAAACATTCTTGAACCTACAGTAGGACTTAGAGAAAGTTTGTCATTATAGTACATTTTAGGATCTTTTCTTACCACAAAGTGTTTTTCTTTTTTTCTTTTACTGGCAGAAATGGGCTTCCATACCGTATTGTAAAATATGTGAGGAAAATCAGATGACTATGAAGTCCTCACATTCCATTTGTCCTGATACCTTTAAAAAAAGCCTGGGTTTGTCTCTGTAGGTGACACAGGGTGTTTCAGAGATGGAGGACCTGCAGAGGAGACTGGAGGAGGCTGAGACGGAGCTGAAGCTAGTGCTAGAGGACAGAGGAGGCCAGGAGGAAGCAGATGAGCTGACGGAGGAGCTGACGGAGGAGCTGACGGAGGAGCTGACGGAGGAGCTGACGGAAGAGCTGACAGAGGAGCTAACGGAGGAGCTGACAGAGGAGAGCAGCGTAGCGAAGGAGGACAGGAGGGCTGAGACCAACGGAGCAGAAGGAGAGCCTTTGCAGAGGCAGCTCTCCGGGAGGAAGAGTCGCAGAGGTCATCCCTGTCTTCTTTTAATTCATGGGACACTGAGTGCAAACTTTGTTGATATTTAGCTCACCTTTTGCAAAAAGTGTACATTTGGGCCTAATCAAGGTAGGGAACCTGCTGTACAAACAGAGGTTTTTGAGGTACTTGTCATTTACTTGCGTCATGTATGTCACTTATTTAAATGTATGGTTATACTCCACTAAAATGATTTAGTAGCTTTAGTTATACAGATTCAGATATCAATCTAAACTTCCAATCAACTCGTACATTTTTAGGATTTTGAATCCAGGAAACACTTATAACAGAATATTCTTGCTACTTTATACACAAGTCAAATATCTAAAAGCTGCTTTCCCCTCTGTACCACTGTACAGAACAGTAACTTTCATTTATAGTGTTGTTTTTTTTTTAAACTTAACAACTTTAAGTTAATTTGAATAAAAATACCGGTAGATTCTTCTTAACTGTTTTTGTTTTGTGTTTTTATTGTCACTTAACTTTGTCGACAGTATAGGAAAATTGCATTTGAGTTTTCACATCCTAAATTGGAACTTATTGGCGGTTGTCTGATGAGCCAAACAGAAAGACTGAACCCCTGTTTCTCCATGTTCACAGTAGGGGCTGGCGGAGATGCTGGAGTACAGAGGTCGCCTATAATCCACCTGTGGAAAGGCAGAACATATGAGGTAACATGCTGTTTATATAGATTTTCTGGAAATCTTCATTTGAACTGGCTTTATTATTGGTCTCCCTTTTTACGCTTCCGTCTTTTCTTAAAGATTGATTTCTAAAGAAATGTTAATACATTTCAGAATCTGGCTGCAGAGATTTGCTCTCATTCAGCCACAAGAACGTAATTGGCATTCCACTTCATCCAAAGGTGCTGGATGGGGTTTATACTGGGGAAATGTTTCTTTATGGCGCTGGGTTTGTACACAGAAAAGTGTATTTGGATTTAAGGTGCCTCGACCAAACAATGAAAAACAGGAGCTAGACCTTAAGTTAACAACTAAACTAACTACTGACAGGCATACGTTTACCTCATTAGTTACATAACAAAGTAACTCAAGCAATCAGAAAGGCCAAAGCCAACTTCTTCATAACAATAATTAATGAGGCTAAAGTTAACACTAAAAGAATTTGGGTACAGATTAAAACCTTGATGGGAATCAAGCGTTAGAACTTAGTGTTAGAACTCAAAGAGAATGGTAACCTAGTGCAAGACCCAGAACAACTTGCCATAGCTTTTAATACATATTTGATCAACTCTGTAGATGAGATTACACAGAATTTTCCCTTAAGAGCAGAAAATATTATCAAAGTCGACGAAAGTAAGATGTCCTTTTGCATTCAACCCATATCGGAATTAAAAACCAAAACAATTATTAATTCTCTTAAAACTTCAAGTTAAGGACACATACGCTATGGATTCTGCAATGAAATGAAATCACTGCAAGATTACCTAGTCTGCCCTCTTACCCAAATCATCAATTCATCTGTATTACATGGGACATTCCCAAATGCCTGTAAGACTGCAATTGTAACCCCCATGTTCAAGTCAGGTGACCATCTGAACATCAACAACTACCGTCCAATTAGCATCTTACCTGTAGTATCCAAGGTGGCTGAGAAGTGGGTGTCAGAACAGCTTGTCTCCTTCTTAAACAACAGCCCATTTCAATTTCATCCCATGCAGTTTGGCTTCAGGGCAAATTATTCAACCGAAACAGCCAACTGCTTTTTTATAGAAAAGGTCAAAGCAATGGTTGACAAAGGAGGTGTTGTTGGTGCAGTATTTCTGGATCTACGCAAAGCCTTTGATACAGTCAACCATGAGGTCCTTCTGTCCAAACTGTGGGCTTTTAACTGCTCTCCATTAACACTCATACCTGGATTGAATCATACCTTACTGGTAGGCGTCAGCATGTTATCGTCAATAATCAACTCTCTCCAGCTCTAGACTTAAGCACCGGAGTACCACAAGGTTCAATACTTGGTCCACTTCTTTTTTCCCTATATATGAATGACCTGCCATCTGTCTGTCCTGATGTGGAAACACAGCTATATGCCGATGACACTGTGATATATGTGCATGCCAACACAAAGCAAAAGGCTGCTGATAAACTGACCTCAGCTTTAGTGCTGATCACTAGCTGGCTACACCGCTCCTGTCTTCAGCTTCATGTCAACAAAACAGTTGGAATGTTTTTCACAAAAAGAAAATACAACATTGTTTCAGGATCTCAGGTGGAAATATTGATATTGTGCCTCAGGCTAAGTACCTGGGAATCATTATTGACTCCAATCTAACATTCAAAACACAAGTAAAAAAAGTGACCCAAAGAGTCAAGTTTAGCCTAGCAAATTTTAAATACATAAGAAATACAATGACATTGAATTCTACCAAATGATACATGAATGCCATGATCATCTCACATCTTACACACTGTCTCACAAGCTGGGGGCAAACTAACAGCTCCACACTGAAGCCACTAGCAACCCTGTACAAACAAACCCTCAAAGTACTGGACCAGAAACCTAACCGCTCCCATCCCTGTACCATCCTCAACAAGCATAACATCCTGAGTTGGGAAGATTTAATAAAGTATAGTAACATCGTTCTGGTGTATAGAATCCTGCGTAACGTAACAACACCAGACTAACCACTACAAGCTCCACACGGGCGACCTTTCAGTCCCATTCAGGAAGAGTACTTTTGGTCAGTCATCATTCTCGGTCATAGCAATACAAAACTGGAACTCTCTACCCACTCAAATCAAAGACATGCATACATATAGCACATTTACAGCTCACTTAAAAACATGGTTCACTGAGAACTACACTTGCACACACTAGTCTGTGTTGGATATGGCTTGTGTTACATGTTGTGATCATGGATGTTGCCCCCCTGTTGTGTGATTGTGATGTGCTGTATGTAGTAACGTGTGTTGTTTATTGTTCTCTTTTATCTTTTCGCCTTTCATCCTTTTTTGATAACTAATGCTGTTTATATATTGTGATTTTAAGGGTGTCTATTATCATCTGGCTGGGGACAACAGCTGGAAATGAGCAATGTTGACTAAAGCTGCCCCATTTACTGTTTTGCTGTGAGAGTTGATCAATGGGGACTGTACACGACACTATAAACAAATAAACAAAACAAATGATGTGTATTGTGTATGTTTATTGTAAGTTACCCAGACACCATCTTTTGACTCATGTCCACATTCTCTCCTTTCAGGACAGTGTCCAACCAGTGATAATAAAGGAGGAAGGACTGGAGGCGTTGGCCGACCAGGCGTCCTCTGACTCCGGTCAGTACAGAGAAGAGCCGGGCCAGGACAATGACGACGACCCAGACTACCAGGTGCTTTGACAAATCCTTCATTCATTTAATGTTTTATTTTCTGTTTGTAGATTTTTTTTGTCTTCCCAGAATTTTGACATGTTGTTTTCCCCATCTATTTCGAAATGATGAAGGGACTTTGAATTGCCCCTACTGTTAATGTGAGTGTGGGTAGCAGTTTATGTTGAGAATATAATGAACTACACCTGTTAATGGAGCTTACCACCAAAAACAGTAAAGCAACAGTGAGTTTAGAGGCAATGAATCAAGAATTTCTTCATTTCTTCTGTTAGATGGAGCCACACGATCCAGATGACGGTGACCCAGGATTAACTACCAGACCTAGACGTGTTGTTAAGCCAAAGTCCCTACGAGGTAGAGCGAAGAAGGAGAACCAGAACCAGCAGCCTCTGAGCTGCAGACTCTGCGGGAAGACGTTCACCAAGCTGCTGCACCTGAAGGCCCACCAGGCTGCGCACGGGACCAACGCAGAGAAGCCTTTCTGCTGCTCTCAGTGTGGCAGAGGCTTCTCCTTCCAGCGGAGCCTCAACGCTCACATGCTGCTTCATACAGGTGAGTGAAGTACCGAGCTGATGGACAGGTCTGAGAAGAAAAGCCAGTGCAGAAACGCCTTAAACCTGCATTCTTTCAAACGAGCAGCAGGGGGCCAACTTCTGACATCATGTATTACTTTACTTTGTAAACATTTACCAATCAGTTTATGGTCTCAACTGCTGGTTTACAAGTGTACATAACAGCATGATGATCATTTTGTAAATTATAGTCCCATTTAGAGTAAAATAGGCTGGAAGCTTTATGGCAGTGGTGTCTAAACTCTTTTCACTGAGGGCCACATACAGAAAAACCTACGAAGGGCTGGGCCCCTCACTAGAAGTGAGGTATATTGCCTCATAAGTTAAGTAATAAGTAAGCAAAATCAATCAAATGTAGGTACATTATGCTTGATATTTGAACATGCTTTAAGAAAAAACAGCCTCCATCACAGCTCTCCATCACAGCTCTCCATCACAGCTCTCCATCACAGCTCTCCATCACAGCTCTCCATAGGGTTTCATTGACTTTGTTACTGAAAGTGTTGGCAGCTCATCCCTTAAAACAGAAGCCAGTACAAGCTGTGATTCTCAGTCTTCCTTCACAGCCCGGACAATAAGGGGAAATATCAAGGGTATATTTCAAGCTATTGGGCTTTTTATTATTATTACATTACATTGCATTTAGCTGACGCTTTTATCCAAAGCGACTTACAATAAGTGCGTTCGACCAACAAAATACAAACTTGAAGAAAACAGAATCATATAAGTACATCAGGTTTCATAGAGCCAAACATTTCAAGTGCTACTCAACTGGCTTTAGATAAGCCAGTCCTTTATTAGTATATAAGTGCTTTGTTAATAGTTCTATCGCTCGAAGTGGAGTCGAAAGAGATGAGTTTTCAGTCTGCGCCGGAAGGTGTGTAAGCTATCTGCTGTCCTGATGTCAATGGGGAGCTCATTCCACCATTTTGGAGCCAGGATAGCAAACCCACGTGTTTTTGCTGATGGGAACTTGGGTCCCCTTTGCAGCGAGGGCGCAGCGAGTCGTTTGGCTGATGCAGAGCGGAGTGCACGCGCTGGGGTGTACGGTTTAACCATGTCCTGGATGTAGGAAGGGCCAGATCCATTCGCAGCATGGTACCTATGTACCATTGTCTTGAAGTGGATTCTAGCAGTTACCGGAAGCCAGTGAAGGGAGCGGAGGAGCGGCGTGGTGTGGGAGAATGTAGGAAGGTTGAAGACCAGACGAGCCGCTGCATTCTGGATGAGCTGCAGAGGTCGGGTGGCACATGCAGGTAGACCAGCCAGGAGGGAGTTGCAGTAGTCTAGGCGTGAGATGACGAGAGCCTGGACCAGAACCTGTGTCGCTTTCTGAGTCAGCTGGGGACGTATCTTCCTGATGTTGTAAAGCGTGTATCTGCAGCAACGGGTTGTAGCAGCGATGTTTGCAGTGAAGGACAGGTTGTTATCTAGGGTCACACCCAGATTCCTTGCAGTCTGAGTCGGGGAAACAACTGAGGTGCCGATGTTGATTGTTAGGTCAAGAGTGGGACAACATTTTCCCGGAAGGAAGAGCAGCTCAGTCTTGTCAATGTTGAGCTTGAGGTGATGAGCAGACATCCACTGAGAGATGTCAGCTAGACAAGCAGAGATGCGTGCGACGACCTGGGTCTCTGAGCGGGGAAAGGACAGAATTAATTGGGTGTCGTCAGCGTAGCAGTGGAGGGAGGAGAAGATGGAAAATAGTTTTTGGGGATTTGAATAGGAAGATTGGATCTTATCTTGAAAGAAAGTGCTTTTTGCCTGAGAGATCGAAGCAGAAAAAGAGGGAGAGGAGAGCCTGATAGGTTAGGAGGTCGTCACGGTGTTTGGATTTCCACCATTTCCGCTCTGCTGCCCTAAGGACGGTTCTATTAGCACGCAGTGCATCATTTAGCCAGGGAGCAGGAGGGGACTGACGAGCCTGCCGAGATGTGATAGGACAGAGAGAGTCCAGAGAGGATGAGAGAGTAGAGAGGAGAGTTTCTGCAGCAGAGTTTGGAGGTAGGAGTTGGAACGAGTCAGAGGAAGGGAGGGCTGAGAGCACCGATGAGGCAAAGGTAGAGGGGGAGAGGGAACGGAGGTTACGGCGGACAGGTGCAGGATGAGAAGAGATTAGTTTGTTATGTTTGGAAAGGGATAGAGAGAATGAAATGAAGAAGTGATCGGATGTGTGGAGTGGGTTTACAGAGAGGTTAGAAGTAGCGCAGTTCCTTGAGAATATGAGATCAAGGACATTGCCAGCTTTATGAGTCGGTGGGGACGGAGACAGTGAGAAAGCAAAGGCGGTTAACAGGGATGTTAGTTCGTCTATCTTCCCCGTCTGGAGGTTGAAGTCTCCGAGAAGTACAGCGGGAGGGCCAGTTTCAGGGATGAGTGAGAGGAGATGATCTAATTCCTCCAAGAAGTCCCCCAAGGCGCCTGGTGGACGGTAGAGAACAACAATGGTTAATTGTATAGGATGGGTTACTGTGACGGCATGTATTATCAACTAAGGTATTTTCAACTTGAATTGACTGCATTTTTTGAAAGTGTACTAATTAACACATGAATTATACTGCTTAAAATCAGTTTACATTTATATTTAAGAAGTAAAATAAAGGAAAAGCACAGGTTTCTTGTGTGGGCCATATTCCATTATACTTTTAGAATTGCCACAGTTGGCCCCCGGACCGTGGTTTGGACACCCCTGCTTTAGGGCTATGTTGTGATTGACAGGTTGCTGCTTCAGTGTCCTGGTGTTGTGAAAAGCTCAAAGTCTAAAGACAAAAACCCAATGTGTTTTCAGTTAATGAAAGGTAAACTATGTTTGTTGCCTAAAAATATCTTCATCAACATTCTCTTGTGTCTGGTTCCAAAAAACAATATGGCGACTGCTAAAAGGCCAAACTAGAGGCTTCCAAACTGTAGTTGCCACACTAACGTGTGATGTCACGGTGACTACTTCCAATATATTTGTTATAGTCTATGGTTGTTATACTGAAAATAATAATGCCTTATAAAGATTTGATGAGGAATATCCACATTAACACACATAGGAAACGTATTTACGCAGACACAGTGATACAAGGATTCATTTTGAGTTCTGTTGCTGACCCACATATAAATATGTTCAATTTTCACTAGCACTAAAGGTTTCACTTTTTCTAGGCCATTTATCTGGTTTATCAAAATGGGGGTCAACGACTGAGATGAGACAAAACCATACAGTATAGTGTCATAAATCCGAAACAATGAGCTAAAAGGGGCTAAAACTCACTAGAGATGCTGACCAGGGATAATTGTGTTTAATAAAAATGTCTATTAGAAAACATATAACCTTTGACAATGTCATATTCTGTTAATCTTATCCATCTACAGGTGAGAGACCACACACCTGTGATGTTTGTGGGAAGGGCTTCACTCTGAAGCAGCTGCTGAGGAACCACCAGCGCCTGCACGCCGAGGTCCGGCCGTTCCGCTGTGAGCAGTGCGGGAAGAGCTTCTACCGAGCACACGGCCTGAAGATGCATCAGATGGTCCACACGGGGGAGCGGGCCTACAACTGCCAGTACTGCAACAAAAGCTTCACCATCCAAGGAAACCTGCAGCGCCATCTGCGCATCCACACGGGGGAAAAGCCCTTCAGGTGTGAGACTTGTGGCAAGAGCTTCAACCAGGCGGACACTCTGAAGGGCCATCAGCGGATCCACACGGGGGAGCGCCCCTTCAGCTGTGAGACCTGCGGCAAGTGTTTCATCCAGAAGAGTGCCCTGAAGATGCACCAGAAGACCTCCCACCCAGGCTCCAGGGAGAGGTCTCTGGCCTGCGTGGCGTGCAGCACCACGGTGACCTGCGTGGACTCGCTCCGGAAACACCTCCAGACCCACGCGGCCACCATCCCCTGTACGTGTGTGATCTGCGGCCGGCGGATCAGCTCCATCACAGACCTGCGCTCTCACCAGCAGCACCACACGGTGGACCGGCCGCACAGCTGCGGGCTCTGTGGGAAGAGCTTCAAGTCGTCCAGTTACCTGAAGATTCACCTGAAGACGCACAGCGGGGAGAAGCCCTTCTCCTGCGACATCTGCGGACGCATGTTCACACAACACAGCAGCCTTAAATCACATCAGGTGGGTCTGCATTAGCCATTGTTCAACTAAAGTGCCAAGTAGAGTGAAGATGCTCCTAAAGGGGCCATTTTCTGCTTTTTGGGGTTTTCCCTCTCCTGTAGTGCATGTGTTCTATAGGTTTTTGTGCATGTAAAGGGTATTGTTAGTGTATTCTAGAACCCTGAAGGCAGGAGAGACTGAAAAGAGTCACGGGAAACTTATAAAAGTTAACAGCATTTAATTACACAAAAGATGCGGTGGTGTACAAAATGAAATGTGCGAGTGGAGGCGCTCTCCTCATCCGCCGGTCAGTCCAGGTCAGCAGGTAGAAGAGGTCAATTATTGGCTTGCTCTTCCTGTTGTCATCTGAGGTCTTCTCCTATTGGCCGGCGTCCTCGGGGGCGGGTCCAATGCAATTCCTGCCTTTTTCTGTTGTTAAATTATATCATTCTGGTGTCTGTGGTTATTTAAACATTCCCTAATAAACGTTATTCAGCGGCAATAAATGAGTGCTAAACCCAGTGTGCTCAGTGTACAACATCACATGTCATTTCACCTTTGATTCACGGTTTGAAAATGCAGCATTTCGGCACATGCTAATGCTAACCGGAAGTCAAGAATTTTCAGAATAAAAGTATTAAGTCACACACACTATATATATATATAGACTGTATAGCAACATTCATGTTTGAGGAGCTAAACAAAAAGATGGGAATCCTTTGCTAAAAACAAGCTTTAGTCCGAAAAAAAATGTTTACGCCTTTAAAGTTGATAGATAAGTTGTCTGTAGTTGGTAGAATAAAAAAAGGGAGCCCACAGACCTCATGTTGAGATGAAATAGAAAAAACCGCAGCGCTGACTCTGCTCTTCTGGGTACTTACAGATGCAACACACCAACTTCCTGTTGCCATTTGACCCTGATGTTGGTTGTATAAACGTTCTAGTTTATACAACCAACATCAGGGTCAAACACATTTTTGACAGCTGTACGACTAATGTTTTGTCAGTTTTCTGGATCCTGTGTATGTTCTGACGCTGACAAATTAATGTTGTTGTTGGCTTATTTATGACCGCAGAATTTGAATCTCTTTAGTGTGGAATTTTTCCTTTTTAGGATGTGGTAACATTATTATCAATGAAATGTCCCTAAAAACAGGGACAAAGAAGGACATCCTCATGAGCAGGTGTATTGAAAGAGAATTAGCTGAATATGACCTGAAACACTTGTAAGAGCAACATTTAGGTTCAGGTTGAGAATAAGAAACATGTCTTGCATGAAGCCTGATTTGATGTGAATCTTTATTCATGATTTAACAATTGTAAATCTTACATATGAAAATGATTAAAGTCTTTCGAATGATCTTCTTTTCCAAAGGTTGTCCACACAGGAGAGAAGCCGTTCAGCTGCGACACATGTGGGAAGTGTTTTAGCAACACAGGGAACCTGAACAGACACCAGCGCATCCACACCGGGGAGAAGCCGTTCTGCTGCGACACATGTGGCCGCAGCTTCAACCAGGGAAATAGCCTGAAAGCACACCAGCAGATACACACCGGGGAGAAACAGTTCATGTGCGACAAGTGCGGGAAGAGTTTCTCCTACCTGAGGAACCTGAAGGACCACAAGTGTTTCTACGTCTAAAGACTAAACTGTGAAGAGGACGATGACATAGGGTTGCCTGAACCCAACAAGGACTACATGAATGGATGGATAGTAAAAGATTGGTTTTCCAGATTCAAAGCTACCCTCAATGAAAATGTTGAGGATAAATGCAGTGTGGGGTTTGGATTTGTGGAACTGTAATTTAACAGCCTTAAGTTAAAGTCGAAAAAAGGTTCAGGTAAGCACCATTATAAAATCAGCTCAAATGATTTGAAGCTGGATACTGCTGTACAACAAAGAGTTAGAACACATTGTATTTAAAATCCGCCGTCCAGGCCTTAGAAAACGTACGTTTTTATCTCTCCAACTTTTATTTGGCAAATGGCTTGAATGACTTACAAGCTGTTACAAGCTGTTTTCATTTTCCCTAGTTTTACCAGGTCTCAATATTATTTGTGTGAACAGATGGATAATCCTTATGTCAATGTGTAATCTGTGAATGTAAAACACTGTCCACAAATGCAAAAAACAATTTTGGAAACACTTTTGTGGGGATTTACATTTACAGATTTCACAATTACACACGGTAACCAATGTGTTCACACATATAATATTGAGACAAATCTATCTCCATATAACACAAACAATCTCACCCTCCACAATTAATATTAGGCCGTCTTTAGCCGACGGATGTCCAATTACGACCCTGAAGCTTTAAAAGTGTGGCTGACTTTTCTTGCAGCATTATAATCTTTTAACAACCACATTTAAGTTGCACGACCATTTGAAGAGTGATTTGTTTTTTAGTGTTTTTTTTATAATGATCTCCAATAGAAAAATAGATTAAAAAAAATACAACTGTGACTTTTGGAAACAACGTTGCCTTCTGTGCAGTAAAGAGCCAATGTGCTGCGGAGATACCCAAACAGGGATTTTGTAAGAATGTGTCATCTGTTACCTCTCTTGTGGAGTGGATATTTGTTATATCTCAACTTTGTGTGTCAAACTGATAAACATTGTTATTTAAATCATTTGAGCTTTTTCTTGTATTGCTTTAATAATGCATTGGAGAACTTTGAAATGCTTAAAAGTCTCTTAAACGTCTATTTTTGGTTTGACTGGTTTACAGTTGCAACTCTAAAAACCTTCAATCAAATTCGTAATGCCTCCATGATTAAAACCCAGAGCTGATGCAAATCAGATGCGAATTTATGTTGAGGCTTTACTTTCAAATGTAAGCTATACGATTTATTTCGACTACCAAATAATACATACTTATACACATTATATTCCTTAGCTCTACATTTTATTGTCAATGAAATCATTAAGTTAGCATTTTTGCAAGATCTATGTTAATATTGCACTTTTGCATAATGAATACAGTGCACAATGGCCATTTGATTTGCACCACTACAGTATATTGAGAACAAAGAGCAGACATGAAAAGCGAGAGCAGGAAGAAGTGTTCGAGAACACAACACCACCACAGAGGATGTCACGGTGTGCTGAGAGCTAGGAGAGAGATTGTGATCAGCTTCAGCATTTCTAGAGGAAATGACAGTGATGAGCCACTTGCAGCTCTTGTAATGCATTGATCTTGTAACAGCTGGGGAGACTGAGCTGCCTGAGAAAGGGGTGTATCGATAGTTAATGGTGAGGAAGGAGAGGAGAAGAAGCAAAGGGGCTGGTCTCCAAGCTTATCGATGTGCATGTTGACCCAGCAGCTGATGTAGAGAACATGTGCACAGGTGCAGTTCCATAGGTTACCTGACAGATGAACAGTGCTTAGGTTTCCCAAAGGCCCCAAAGTCCCATTCTCCATTGCTCTGAGCTGGTTGGACTTCAAACTCAATCTCTGGAGGTTTATAAGTCCTTGAAATACATCAGGCTGCAGGCGATCCAGCTTGTTTTCATCCAAGTTGAGTTCTGTTAGCTTCGAAAGTTGGGCAAAGAGCTGAAGGTGTAAACTCTCCAGGCTGTTGTTCTTTAGCTGAAGCTTGCGGAGAAGGTGGAGGGGATAGAAGGTGTTATACGGGATGTCATGGAGCTGATTGAAGCTCAACCCGAGCTCTTTGAGGCATGTCAACCCAACAAAGTCATCAGGAGAAAGCTCTGAGATACTGTTATTGTCCAGATCCAGAGTTATAAGGTTTGTTAGATTCATGAACAGGCTTGTAGGAAAGTCTCCAATGTGGTTGGCATCTAGATGTAACTCTTTTAAACTGATAAGGTCTCTGAACTGGTCTGGGTGTAGAGAGGTGAGACGGTTGCGAGAGAGCTTCAGTGAATTTAGTCTTCTTAAACCGTGGAAGACTGAGTGATGTATGGACCTGATGTGGTTGTCATCAAGGTGTATCTCCTTGACGACCCTCGTCTTGTGGAAAAGGCCTTTGGGAAGGTGCCTCAGAGCGTTGTTGTCCAAGTCCAGGTTCTGCAGTGATTTGAGCTTGTTGAACAGAGCAGGGTGGAGCTCCAGGATGCAGTTCTTTGAAAGCTGTAACTCTTTGAGTCTGGACAACGAATCAAACACCCCAACTGGAATGGCAGAGATCTGATTGCTCTCCAGCTGCAGTTCTTTGAGGTTTTTCAGGTTACTGAATATGTCAAGAGGAAGAGATGTCAGTCTGTTACCATACAAATCAAGTATCTCAAGGCCCATCAGGTCATTGAAGACTTTTGAGGGCAGAGAATCTATGAGGTTGCGACTGAGGTCCAGCTCACTCAGCATGGTCAGGCCTCTCAGCGATCCCTCAGACAGAGAGGTCAGCTTGTTGTCGCTCAGGTCTAGATGAAATAACCGGCCCATTGAAGAGAGGCAATCCTCTGGAAGGCTAGTGAGTCTGTTCATCTGTAGATTGAGATTCCTGAGCACGCTTATATCCCTGATTGCCTCAGCTGGAACAGTGACCAGGATGTTGCCACTCAGGTCCAGGTGTTGGAGACCTGTCGCTCCTCTAAAGGTGCCCTCACCAATACTTGTGATTCTGTTACTGGACAGATCAAGCTTTTCTAACACAGCAGAGTTTTTGAACACACCTTGCTCTAAGTTGGATAAATGATTATGGCTTAGGTTGACGTCAGTTAGGTTGAAGGCACCTTCCAATGCCCCAACCTGTAACAGTTTAATCTGGTTGAATTTCACATCCAGCGTCTCCAGTTGAGCTAATCCAAGGAGGAATCCGGTCGGTATATGTACGATCTGGTTCCAACTCAGGTCAAGTAAGGTAAGAACGGGGCAATTTAGGAACTGATCCGATTTCAGAAACCACAGGTTATTGTTGGGTAGGAAGAGCTTAGAGAGCTTGGTCATGTTGGGCCAAACTGGGTTTAGGAATAGGAATACATTCATCTCATTCATAGTCAGATCCAGGACCTACATAATATCCAGGAAGAAGAGAAGACTCGTGAGTTTTTATGTTTCATATAAAATACATGTTTATATATTTATCATATAAAATAAACTTGTATTTTTTTTTATGTAGGAAGATACATCACAATAGAAAAAATGAAAAGGTAAATTTTAGTTATTGCATATTTTGTTTATAAAAATATTTCCTGGGTTACTGGGGGTTATGAGCCAGAGTATTTCATGTCACGAGCATTTCCTGTAGTCTCTGTTGGCTTTCTGGCAACCTGTACCATCCCAGAAATAGTCAGGCAACAAACTGTTAGTTTAACACTTTGGAGTTTTTACAAATGTAATAAAGTAGATTTTACGTGTTAATAAGTGAATTTTTGGTGTGTCCATAAGCAGATTTTGTTTCTGTTGGACAGCCCCATGAAACATATCTTAGCTCCCAGACTTTGTGCTAAGCTAAGCTAAGCCCTGCTGTTTGTAGCTTCATATTGTACACATACAGTATGAAAGTATATATGTTCATCTAACCAGGGGCAAGAAAATGAATTTCTTAAAATGTTCGACTATCTCTTGAAAGCATGGAAAACATTAACTTACAGTTGAATGAATGTCTGGTGAATGTACGTCCAATAATAAGTTCAGAAATATTGTCTGCTTAAGTTACTTGATGAGCTATACTTGTTCATGTTAAACCACCAGTATGGTTCTTCAATAAAGGTTGTATTCATCATGTCTTGCTACAGGTTATCACTACTGTACAGACACATGAAGACATGGGAAAGTTATTTTCAAAACCAAAAACCACAAAGTACACTTTCAGGCTGCTCTGTGTTTCGTACCTGCAGCTCCTCCAGTCCATGTCTGGGTATTTCCTGTATGTTGTTGTAGGAGACGTACAGCTTCTCTGTGCTCTCTGGCAGCTCAGGTATCTGGTCCAGGCCTCTGTCCTGACACATGATGGTGGTCAGGTTGTGGAGACATTGGCAGACAGGGGGGCAGAGGTCAGACGCCCACACCCAGAGGCTCAGAGAGGCCAGCGTCATGGCTGCCAGCATGGTGGCTCAGGCTGAAGCCAAATGTAAAACATGGAGAGTTAAAACTGTAAAACTCTGTTTATAAACCCAAACAATGATTCAATCTTGGTACTTAATTTTTTTTTTTTTAATGTGTTATTAATGTTGTGTCCCTGAGTTATTGTTTCTATGAGCTTGATTTTATTTTCACTTTTATTTTATTTTGTAAAGCGTCTTTGACCTAAAAAGCGCTTAATGAATAAAGTATATTGTTTTTACTGGTTTTTGGTAAATTATACCAATATATGTTTTTCTGGATCTCCAGGAGTAATCTCTGCTACAATATATTTGATGAATAGATTGTGTTTTACATTTTTGTTTGTTGTATTCCTTTAACCATCATAATTTGCTTATTTGTGAGAAAAATTAATCACCCTGATCAAAATGATATTTAATACATTTCTAAGCACTACTCTTGCTTTGTTATACAATTGTAATTGTAATTGAATCAAAACTCACCACTGATGAGAAGGCAGAGATTGTAGTGTTTTGTAGCAGATATACTGTCGTACTAAATGATCCTGTCACTGTAAGAATAGTTTATCTGTAGCAGAGGAAGTTGTGGTTATGAAAGGACCTTTCTGAGAAGAGCGACAAAATACACATTTTGCTTCACGTTGCACACTAACAAACCACATCAGACAGTCTGTCAATAGAAAACTTCTTCCGGAAAGATCAAGAGTAGGCTGGTCCTCAATAGCAACAAGAAGAGAACTACATTCTACATATTTATTTTATCAATAAAAGTCTACTGCAGACTTACTATGGTATGATCTTGCTTGAAGTGAATATATCTGCACGTTCCTTGTTGTTCTGAGTTTGATTCTTTATGGTTTTTGCACTTATTGTAAGTTGCTTTGGATAAAAGCTTCAGCTAACGATATGTAGTGTAATGTAATGTTATGTCTTCCCAAGGGGCCTTCAGTGCCATACTCCATCCATCCAGCAGAGGGCCTCAGACGGTTTCTTTCACATCCTCACCTGTTGCCACTCACTCTCATCAGCCCTGCAGAATATCACAGGGCCCTTTCCTCTCATCCCCTCCCAGACTTTAAATTGTTGTTGTGTCTGCTTTCCAGCCACCTTTTCCTGTAACCTACATTTGCCTGTGCCTGCCCTGTACCTGTGACTGTGCCTGTATACCTGTACCTGTATACCTGTGCCTGTACCTGTACTATGGGCATAAATATGTCTCATAATTATTTGTGTGAACATAAAAATAATTTGTGTGTAAATATGTGATTTGTAAATGTAAAACAACATCCACAAATGCGTTTAAAAGATTAGCAAACTCACAAATAAATGTGCAAATGTAAAACGGATCTGCAAATACGCTAAATATTTTCACAAATAAAAAAAAGATCTGTGAATATCTCTTTAACATTTACAACTTTCGATCCGGCATTTGTGAATCCATTTTGTATTTGCCGACCAAAAATGCGCTTGCGGGTCTCACATTTCTGCTTCTGGATCGTCTTTTTACACACACGGAATTTTGAGACATATTTTCCGCCGGTCGCGGCTCAAATCTACTCGTGTCACTCGGTTATTTTCGGAAACCACGTGATGGCCTGCTGATGACGACATTTCCGCATGAAGTAA